CCAGATCATTGGTAAAGATGTTAAACAAGACTGGACCCAAAACTGAGCCCTGGGAAACACCACTCGTGCCCAGCCGCCACCTGGATTTAACTCCTTTCACCACCGCTCTCTGGGCTTGGCCATCCAGCCAGTTCTTGATCCAGTGAAGAGTACACCCATCCAAACCACGGGCAGCTGGCTTCTCCAGGAGGATGCTGTGGGGAACAGTGTCAGAGGCCTTACTAAACTCCAGGTAGATGACATTCCCAGCCCTTCCCTCATCCACTAGGCGGGTCACCTGGTCATCATAGGAGGAGATGAGGTTGGTCAAGCAGGACCTGGCTTTTATGAACCCATGCTGGCTGGGCCTGATCCCCTGGCTGTCCTGCACGTGCCCAGTGAGTGCACTCAAGATGAGCCGCTCAAATACGTTTTTACTTCTCTGCTCAAAGAAGAAAGACTCTGCCTAGAACACAGAACAAACGTCTATGTTCAGTATCTCCTCTGGCTACTGCAAGTGTGTGGTGTTCCCAGGAGTTGCCTGAGGAGGACTGGAGATGGCACTTGCAGGTTTAGAGAAGTATTTTTCCCACCCCCTTAGGAGCTATAGAGGAATGACAGTGCATGTGCTCTAGGCTGGAGCCTGATCTGAGAGTGGATGACTAATCATATTCCAATTTGTTCAAGATATTTTTTTCCCCTATTTTGATGCAAATTCTCTTCCCTCAGAACTCCCTCGAATTCCAGGAGAAGAAGGGTGAGTGATGAGGAGACAGTCATCCCAGAAAAGATCAGAGTTCCTGATCCCGTGAGCAGCTCTGAGAGCTCAGAGAAAGAAGAGGATGAGAAAGAGAAGGCGAAAGCTGCAAGCGGTAGGAGCCTTTCATCTCCCTGGAGCTGACAGAGTGGGGCTGGAGGCTTGTGTATGAGCAGCCCGACTTTCTTGACTAGAGAAAATGCCTGTAAAGTGGTGGCTATTCCCTTGTGCTCTTGGAAAAATAGGACAACTAATTTAGCACCCCCTTCTCATGTGGCGTTTGAGGAGCACAGATGTCTGCTTAAGCTAGAAAAAACCCTGTTATGATTCACTGGGAAGGGATGGGTGTTGTTGCTTGGATAAAGCCTTGGGAACCTAATGCTGCCCACTGTGGAGCACCTTCTAGTTGGTCCCAGGTCTGTGTTGGGCCAGCAAAGGCAGCCCTGTTTCATGGATGAAGGAAGGACTTGTTAGTTGGTCTGGAAAGCCAGTGCCCTCTGTCTGAGGTGGGGAGAGATCCCTGCTGCAGCTGATGTGGGAGGCATTGGCTTGCGTAGTCTCACAAAAACCCCATGTGTCAATATGTTTTGGCTCGGTCTCATCTGCTGTAGACCAGCCTTTGGAAACACGCAGATCTTGGCAGGTTCCTTGTCTTGGTGGTGGGGAGAAGGATGGGATGGAGAAGCAAAGTACTTGCCTGTCTCAAGGACAGCGGTGGTGGTGTTGGGGCAGGTATTGAGATGGGGCCCTGCCCTGCCTGCTGGGGCCTTTCTGCAAACCAGAGGCCATCTTGATGTGAGAGGCGCGCTCACACGATTTCTCTGTGGCTCTGTCCTGTGCAGCAGCCAGCCTTTCCCTGGCCACGAACTCGGGAGCAAATGTAGAAAGCAGTGAAGATGATGACTCCTCATCAGAAGAGGAGACACCAGCTGGGAAAGGTGCAGTTGTGGTAAGGCAGTTCTTCTCTTGGCTTTGAATGCTGTTGGTGCTCTGCGGCCAGGACTATCGCAGACTTGTTTGCATGCATAGAGTTGTGGGCTGGGGTGGAATTCATATTTAAATAACCATCCTGTGCTGGTGTAAGCCTGCTTTTAGATACCTGTCCCCCAGGTGCTTCCCTAAAGAGCTCTATGGCTTGCCCAGCTGCCACAGTGCTCTTTAAAGTGTGTTCTGTCCAGATTAGGCCCTCATCTGTCTATGGGCTTCTGATTTATTTTGTTTCCTTAGGTGACACCAGCTGTGGTGAGTGGCAAAGCTGCCAATTCCCTGCATTCTCCTAACAAACCCACTGCCGCAGCCGGCAAAGCGGCGGGGCTCTCTTCTGCGAACAGAAACGTCAACTCAAGCAGCAGCCCAGTGCGCCAGCTGCATCTGCAGCTCCGGCCAAGGCTGGGCAGAAACTGCCCGCTCCTGGGAAGCCTGGACATGCCGCAACAGCCGCGGCCAAAGTAGGTCAAAGCAAAGCACCAGTGACGACCGAAGCGCCGGAAAGCTCCAGCAGCAGCAGCTCCTCATCAGAGAGCGAGGAGGAAAAAGAGACGCTGACTGTGAAGGCCCCAGCCACCAAAGTTGGTGAGGAGCCTGTGGGGTGTGGTAAACGCATGTGTGCTCCAGCTTTGCTGCGAGTCGGGTCCGAGCCGTGCCTTCAGTGTGTTGCTTCCAGCTCCCTTGCTGGGAACCTCAGAGCGACGCGTGTTCCTTGGGGAGGCTGCGAGAATACTGCAAAGCAGCCAGCTCCGGAGCTCTGTGGGATGAATCCAGCATGCTTGCTCCCATTTCAGGCGGCAGATTCTGTGCTAAGATGTCTGTCTGGCAGCACCCAGCGCTACAGGGCTGGAGATGACAGCGTGGCGTATCTGGAGGAGATGCAGTACTAATACTGCGGATGCTTTCAGCTTTTTGGAAAGGCACTGTAGTATCTTCTCTTTATTCCCAATTACAAAGTGATTGATTTTGAGTTTTGAAGTTTTTAGGGATATCTTTTACTGCTTTGAAGTGTGTGTGTTGGGGGTGATGGTGGTGAGGAATAGATTGTAGAAGCTCTGAAAATGGTCCCTTTCTTGGTTCTTTTCCAGAAGAGGTCCAGCCAGGCTGGGTGCCCCTGCAGGGAGCTGTGTGTGGCTGGGCAGCTCCACGTGGGGTCAGGGTGGCCGGGAAGGGTTTCCCACCTCTGCCTGCACTCGGGAGAGTGGTGTTTGTGGGCTGATGTTTCTCTAGAGAAGCTGTTCCCAGCAGGCCCCTGATGCTTTCAGCAGGGCTAGACCTTCCCTGCAAATCCCCTTAGCCCTCTCTGCGGCTTGTTTTGTTTTCCTGACTTCAAAAGCCACATTAGCATCACGCTCTGAGAGCTCAGAGCAGGCAGCAGCTGTGACATCTTCTTGCTTGTGTTTCAGAGCTGAAGCAGGCAACTGGGGCCGTTGAGAGCAGCAGTGAGGAATCGAGTGATGAGACATCCTCCGAGGAGGAGCCTGCAGCTCCAGCGGTCCAGGTGACCTCTCCAACCCAGGGTCCATGTCTCTGGGAGATCACTTGCCTTCGCTTGAAGGAGAGAGGAAATGCTGCAATGCTGTATTCTGACAACACTCCCTTTTCCTGGGTGTGCGGGATCCCCAAACCCAAGGCCAGAGAAACACGCTGTGTGGCTGAGAGCCCCCCTGACCTGTGCCAGCATCAACCATTCCATCCCAGTTCCTCCCAATGCCTGAATTCAAGGGAGATCCTTTGATCTGTAAGAGGTGATTGGTGTGCACCTCCATGGACACGACAAATGCAGAAGGAATGCAGGCTGATCAGGCAGTCTGTGGAGGAAGCTGTTTGCTTCAGATACTCCACAGCCCATGGGTCTGAGCAAGACTGTCCTGGTTAAAGTTAGTAAGGTGGCCTTTAAAACAGATTCCATGCAGTTACAGCTCTCGACTAGTTTCTTGTGAGATGTTACCTGATTCTCCTGTTCTCTTTTGTTTCCACTGTTCCCAGGCAAAACCAGCTGTGAAAACAGCGCAGGTTAATGCAGCACCTGTGAAAAGTGCACCTGCTGCTCCAGTGTCCCTCAAGAAGAATGCAGTGAGGCAAACGGCACCGGCACCAAACCAGACCAAACCCGCATCCACAACGGTTCCTGGGGCTGCAAAGCCCGATGACACATCAGAAAGCAGCGACTCGTCAGACAGCGATGAGGAACCTGCACCAGTAACCCAAGTGCGTCTGTTCAAGACTCTGTTTCTCCTTGCACACCTCTCCAGGGCTAGGAGTTGCAGTGAAAAGAAAATTTTGTAAATGCATGTAGTCTATAGCAAAGTGATGTCGGGGGTGGGAGAAACAAGGCATGGGGTGTTTAAAGGCACCTCAGTGTCTTTGCTCTGAGCTTTAATCAACCCATTGTGCCTCTCTTAAAAAAAATCCGTCAGTACTTTTAAATAAAAAAAACCTCAGCAATTCTCTTCCCACCTGAAGAGGCAAATTGTCATGGTTGAATTTGCCTCTCAGCTATAAATTGCAATAAATAGTGTCTAATTTGCTGAACTGTAGTGCAGCTTAGCTTCCCTGCTGTGGAGAGTGCAAAGTGCTGCAGTGTAGCTCACTGGACTGGCAGTATCAGCAGGCTGAGGAGAAAGCCAGACCAGATGTTCTTCGTCTTGGGAGACTATCCCCACGCAGCTAGATGAAAGGATGCCTTGTGTCCCACCAGTTGCTAATCTTCCCTCAGCATGTGCCTTTCCCAGGGGGCTCTGAAATCTCTTCCCTTGGTTACAGTCTGAGCAAATGAATAACGCTGCTGTGGGATTTGCCTTGTTTCACGCTGCTCTTGTCTTGTCCAGACAAAGCCACCTCCAAAATCTTACCAGGCCATCCCATCCCCAGTGAAACCTACACCAGCAGCATCACTCTCCGGCAAAGCAGCTCCAGAAAAAACACTTCCGCTGTCCCAAGGCAAGCCAGCACCAAAACCAGCAGTGCCAAAGCAGGCCAAAACCACACTGGGAAGGACTGCTGCTCTCACGAAGCCTGCTGAAAGTACGAAGACCGTGGAGAGCTCTGACTCCTCAAGCGGTGAAGAGGAGGATGTCCCTGTGCCTGTCAGCCAGAAGGTAGGTGACACCGCATTCTGCTCACTGCCGAGGGGTGGGATATGCAAGACGATTGTTTAGCCCTTGAATGCTACTACTGATCTCCTTGGAACACTGGTAGCATGTGGTACGTTGCATCTCAGTCCCTCAGAGAGGAAGGTCTTTCTGCTTGGAAACAAGTACAGCCTAACTCTTCTCACCCAGCCATGCCCGAGGAGGGTGGGGGTAACCTATTTGATACCAGGCTGTTTCACACCGCTTCTGCCTTGCCTCTCTGCAGTGGGCCTTGTGCGCGGGGTCACAGGTAGCTTGGCCTTGACTCTCCTGTGAGGATTTGTTTGGACCTCTCTTGAGAGAAGGACAATGAACTTGGACTGGACTCATGTGGCTGAACTTGTAGGGAGGCAAATCCCTTCCTGAGAGCACCGTTAGGCACATAGCATGGAGTCCTGCATTGCCTCTGAGCTGTGGGGCCCTTCGGAAAGTGCCCTGAAAGCAACATTTTGGAGATGGCAGCTATTATCTGCAAGGGAGGAAGGGAACCCGGGGGCAGAGCCTCACGAGTCCTTGCAGGGAGGCTCTTTGTCAACACGTCCTTTCACCGTTGACAGGCAGGAGCCGGAGAGGCTCTGCATTTTTGTCTTTATAGCCTTGGTCTGCTGAGGTGGGTGGAGGGGGACGCATCTCTAACAGTTGGCTCTGTGCTGCTCTCTTCCTGCGTGATTACGTGTGAAGATTCAGCTCTGGGTGGCAGGAGCAGCTATTCTGACAGCTGTGCCATGGGGTCCCGCTGTAAAACTCTGAAGACTTGTCTGTTCTAGCAGGGTTGTAGGTGAAGGAATTGTTGGGATAGGTTTGTTTCCCCCAGTGTGGATCTGAAGCTGGCAGCAGCAGGTAGCCATCTTGCCGATGCCTCTTTAACCTCTTCGGCATCTTCCCTGTTGCAAACTGGCGATTACCCCTCAACAGCCACAGTCAGCAAGGAAGAGCTTGTCATCGAGGCAGCTCTATTTTTGCCAAACAGGCTGTTTCTTCCCATGTTAGTAGCCTACAGGCAGAGACCACGAGTGAAGCCTGAAGATAAACCATTAGGCTTAGCTGTGTCCACAGTCCTGTCCTCCCAGTCAAACTCTTCTTAGCTCATCCACACCATCTGCTACTTGGGCATATGCTAACCACTGACTTACTGTATCCTGCAACTTCCTCTGGCTTCTGTGCAAGATCCAAACAGATACAGAGCGTTGGAAGCTGCTTCATCTTTCCCTGTGGGGGTGGATTAGCACAATTAAAATGAACATCATGCCTAAATTGAACCGCTTAATTGGTATGTTTACCCCTGAAGATTCAGGAATATTTAGTCAAAGAAGTTGACTAGGTGTTTGCATATGTGGGGGGGAAAGATGGTGATGGGGGACAGTATGGGTTGACCTTAAAGATGCCATGAGCAGCTTTTCTTTTGGAACTGCGAATTCTGCTTTGCTTCCTCTTTCCTCGACGTTTTGGGCCAAAGGTGGCACTTAAGCCGTGTATGGACAGGCTGCAGCTTCTGCTTGCCAGGACTGGGCAAGACGCACATGGATGCGTGTGCTGGGAATCTGTGTCTTCCTCGAGCATCCCAGGAAAACCTGGGCAGGCTGCCCTGGTAGGAGTTGTGTGTGCAAGTTTTTATCTTGGACCACAGGCCCAGTGGGGAGAGGCCAAATTTCATGAGAGATGGAGGGTCTCT